AAGAAAAATACATAACCAATGGCAAAAATTATGAAGCGCAAAATCCTAAGCTGAAATCACTTAGCACAGTGCACGCGGCACTTGATGGCACTTTACAGATTTGCCTTTTCCGATACTAGCAGATTTTCCTAGAATTGCCTGATTGCTCTTCACTTTATAATAAGCAACTTCATTGGTTGTAGTTTGGCAAGCAAATCAGCCGAATAAGCTGCATAAGCTAAGGGATTAAATATACTCTGTTAAATTTGCATGGCATTTTGGTTTGGTAATTCGCCAGAGGACTAAATGTTGAGCTATAAAATGGAGATCGCTGCAATCGGCTACTGACTGACTGATAAAAACTTGTTCAAGCTGTTAGCCAAATAAACAGATGACGATTCATGATTTACCACGTCTCAGTTGGCGTAGCTTTATTTTTCCAATAGTTTTTCTCACCATAATTCAATGCCCCAGTTGGCGTAGCTATATATTCCACGCAGTTCATCTGACAAGGGGATAAACACGGTTGCCAAGCTTAAAATCCCTAAATTCAATATTTTGACATACGTATATTTAATGTCCTTTAAAACATGCTTTATTCCCAGGCCTGTTTGGCCTGTTTAAGATAATTACAAGTTCCTCCTCTTTTTTTTTTGCGGCAGCCTGTAAAAATATAATTAATAACTTTACTTGGGTCACAGATCTGAAAATGTGAAAAGCAAGATAACTTGTCGCAACACAACTGCAACATGTTCGAGTGGCAAACAAGTTGCCTGCAACTTGTTGTGTTTTGGCTTCAAGTGGCGGCAACTTAAGTTCTGGGCTCCGACTCCATAGACACTTGTTTTGCGTGGCGTCGTCGCACGGTTGATAAAGCCCGAAGACGAACCCCGTTGCACAGTTGATAACGCACACTCGCGCGGTACGGTTGCGCTTTTAATCCGGCATTACCTGTGGAAAAGTAGCCAAGAAAATATATTTTTTAAGGTGGCGCCACATTTGAATCGCAATGGTTAAAGGGTTTTGGTTGAATATTTAATTACATTTTGACACGCTCTTGTGGCCTCGGGGCAAATCAAAGTCATATAATTAAATATCCAAAGCAAAGTTATTAAAATTTCGGAGCTTGGGACCTAATTGCCAAGGGTGACAACTTATAGCACAGCCGGGTAACATTCGCATTTATTACAATTACATTTAATGCCAAAACCACACACATACGCCCCACTCCAACTCCCAATTGCCAAGAACATGCCCGAATACTGTTTCCTTTGGGTAACTTGATTTGCTTTTCCCTCTTAATTTTTTTTTTTTTTTTTTTTTGTGGGTGTGTGTTAGCGAAGGATACTTTCATTGGACCTTTACTGCCTTTGTTTTGGTTTTTATTTGCTTCTGACTTTATATAACGCTCGAAATGCAGAAGGCAGATCACGTGGCATCCTATTGCCAACCACCGCTGAAAATGCCTGTCACATGACTTAGAAAGACGTACTGAAATATCATCTTAGTAGTTTGACAGACATTAGAAATACCTAACCAGTTCCCTGGAGGCACAGCAAGGCAGCTGCGAAATTGAGTTTATTATGAGCAGCAGTCAAAAGCCTCATAACTTCGTCTCTGAAACCCTTAAAGGACCAACATTAAATATTATAATGAGCTGAGCCCTAATAAATGAAGTGGCACGATAATTAACCAAAAACGTAAATGCGCCCAAAGTTAAAGTTTACTTTAAAGCAGTACACGTTAATTGAATCTGTAATTGTACTAATTAAAAGCCATTAGGCTAAGCGCTCAGGTCCGCAGGTCAAGAGTATCATTATGATTTAAGACACTTCATTAAAATTTCATTTAGGGTATTTACCAGTTCTGCAGGCTAACCGGAAACTTAAATATTTAATAAGTTCTTACGTCCAGGGTAGGCAAGTTCGAAAAGCGCCAAGTGCGTAACAAATTAGTAGAACATGGTTTAAATTTTCGCCCTGCTGCACAAAGCTCAAATTGACAGCTAAGATATTCCAATGTGCTCGGAAAAATGCTGAGTTCCCCAGAAAATTTTGCACAGACGACTGAACAAAATGGCTTAAGAGGGTCAAGGAGACGACAATATGTATAAGCGCTTATAAATGTAAATCTGGGAAAAATTCAAGTTTTTTTTTGCATTCTTGAGCTTTTCATGAATTCATAAAAAGGTTTAACTATATAATGGTACAAAATATTACACAATATATACATAAATACAATATAAATGCATTTGTCAGTAACACATTTTTAAGGGTTAGGGTATCAAAATACCCTTTGAGAGTAGCTCATAAATTGGAAAAACGTTTGTATTTATCTAACGATTCAAATCTCTTAAAGCTGGCCCAAGAAATATGTTAAGAAAATACTGCGGCGATACGTATCTGTATCGTTGGCTCGCACTTATTTTATGCCTCTTTTCATCCCATTTTTTGGGTGTAATTTGAAAAGTGCAAAATAAAGTTGAAGCTCAATTTCAAAGTCGGTTTACTCTTTTGTTAGTCTCCACTCGGAAATTGGCCTTTATTGGTCCCAAAGCGTATTACAGACAAAAAACATTAGACATATGTAGCTCCCTTTTGCGCTTCTTTATTTTGCCTGCAAAGTTTTTGTATTTCTTGTGTGCCTGGCTCACGTGTGTTATACTTAATATTAGCTATTTAACGAAATTGAAAATAGAAATGTCTACTGCTGGCAGCTGTCCTTTTGATGCTTAGTGTGTGTGTATGTGTGTGTGCATGCAGTAAGTACTTCTGCTATGAGCCTGTGAACTTTTTCTTTGATGTCTTAAATCTGTTTATCGTAACATACTTCTGTTTTAATATGCGCCATTCAATAATATTCTATTTATAAGTATTTGAAATATTTGTTTTTATTTCTTGCCTGGACTGCCACATATGCACAGGCTCTCTGAACAGAATCGATGTCCTGCTGTTTTTGAGGGCATCTGTCAATTTTATAAGTGTTTCAAAACGACCTGTGGGGCGTGGGTGGTCTAGGGAATCGTAGCTTGAGCTGGCAGACAAGTCCTTTTGTTGCTTTGCTGAAAAGCACACAACAAATTTTAAACTTCTGCACTGAACAACCTTTCTTGCTCGTAAGCTGGACTTAACAAATTTATGTATGGGCCGCTTGGGTGGCAGTCTTTCATTTACATTTATAACCTTTAAGCAGGCAACATTTTATGTTCGCCTAATTAACTGGCCGCGGAAGTTGGTGGCCGTGAAGGTGGAGCTACAACACTTTCTTCACAAATTGTTGGCTAATTTAAGCCGTGTCCTTCAAGCTACCTAATTGATTATGTAATTTGATAATGTCGAGCTAACGGTACGTTCTTAAATTCGTGACTTAAAATGAGACCAAACGCAGGATTCCAACGCAATGGATTTTTATGGCCAATAGCTTGTAGCCTGAATCCTTAACCATCAAACACACACACACCGATAACACACCCTAACACTGTGTTGTGTAAGTCATAAAGCTGCACGGCTGCGCTGGCCTTGAGCTGATAAAATGCTCCTCTTTACCAAGTTAAATGAGTTGGTTACTCATAACCGATGTATTGTTGTGCAACACCTTCAACCTTAACCTTCACACTCCAAATGGCATATGATAGGAGGTTGGCACACGTGCTGTAGCCACAAGCCTTCTGAATATAATCTGAGCTGATAACAATGCGGTCCTTTTTTTTTGTTTTCTATTATGTTTGGCCCGTATCCTTTTTGGATACACATTGTATACGAAATATGGCTTGTTTTTTGAGGTACGCACATATTTAATCAATTTTAGCCTGAACTGGCCGTTAGGACTGATTTTAAGTTTAAATCTGGCTATGAGTTTGTAAAAATGTTTACAAGGGACAATTTTCCGGAACAAAAGCAGCTAAATCTGCTTGGTGAATGGAGTTCTTCAGTTAAATTACACTCGAACTTGACTTGCCACTCACATACACACATGCATATGCATGTATATGAGCTGAAACTCATCTGGGTACACGCAGCTACCGTAACGAAATGGAATTTATGTGTTTTCATTAAAATTACAAGCCAAGTTTCAGGCTGGACCTTTACATGAAATTTCCAAGCTTGGGTGTCATATACAAATATGTATACAAATATATTTTGCTTTCTGTTTGGAATGTACAATGGAAATTCAAGGCCAATAGCTCAAACGACTCTTATATGTGAATACTTTCATTTTAAGCAGCGCACAGCACATAGTTAAGGGTCCACTTCAACACTGCAGGATATTTTGTTTAGTTATATGATATGAATAAAAGCTGCAAAATATTATTAGAGCCTTCTGCAACATCAAATATGTCCCCTTAACGAAAACATCAACTACTTGCAATTGCCGTCAATATAAACTGACCTGTGGCTACAAAATGGTGGCTAACATTCGGCTAACATTTACCGTCTTGGCCACAGGCTGCACTTGACACAAAGCTGGCAGCTGCAGACGGTGGTGGCAGCGGTGTGAATGTGTGTGAGGGGGGTTTTTACAGTCGTTTCAATTATGTAAAGCAAACTTTGGTATGCGAAAGCTGACAGCTGACTATAACTCATGCCAGGTGCCAGTTGGGCTAGTATCTGTGGTAGCCACTCTATGCACAAAAATGCTGAATGCATTTTTCTCTGGGAAAGCTGATTCGATTTATATTTGTATGTCAGCTTAGCGTTAGCTTAATTTCGTTTAATATCCTTGACTTATTTACTTTCAATTAAATTGGACGTAATTAAATTGTTCATTTCATTATCCAACTTGAAAAGAACACTAATGAAAATAATACACTAATTTCTAGAAATTTAAATTTCTATTTATTTGATACATTTTTCGTTTTTCGCTTTAATTTTTATGTCGCATAATTGAAACTTTTAACAAACATTGTATAGCTTCGCATTTCGGGGAAATTGTATATTGTTGTCATTTGGTTTGAATATTAAACTTTCTGCGAATGTCAAGTAATTTCTCATTTGAAACTTTTCTTTTGTATCCACTTGCAGTCAACAGCTGTGGCAATAAAATGCATTGCACATCGTAAATTAGTTTCGCTTTTGGGCGGAACGAATGTGGGCTAAGACCGATAATTCGGACAGTTTTATAAATTGACGACAGTTTATCTAGCGGAAATCCCAGAAAAATAATCAAAACAACAACAACAATAACAAGAGCAGCAGCATGGAAGCTGATATAATATATAATCAGCATATACATGAGGAGCTGTTGCCTGGCGCCGAAGAGGAAGCCGAATTTGGTAAGTGTTAACCCCATTTTCTTTTTCAATCGATTCAAACATGCCTTAAGGGCTTAATCATGCTGGCCTTATCCATCATACCATGACAAGTTGGTTTTTCGTTGTTGTGCCAACAAGACTTCCATATTTTGGTCTTTGGCTTTAGCCTGGAGCTGGCAAATCAATTATAATATGTTGCCAGCTGCAAAGTGCTCAATTGTGGGTTTAAACCAAAACGGTCCTTTAGAGAGCACAGGCGAACTGTTAAGCAAGACTCACAATTTTTTACGAATGAATATTCTGTGGCCTTTGAGCTGTATACAGTTGCATGCAAATACAGAAGAACTTTAAGTCTATAAAAATGATATGCCTGATTATAAACTTTAATATGCCACTCTAACGCTGCCACAAGCAACTGAGAACTGCCTGTGATTATTCTGTGTCTGTCATTTTAAGAGCTTGTCAATTATGTAGTTTTTGCATTGCGTTTGCTCACTTACCGTTTTTCCATTTTTCCATTTTTCAATTTTTCCATTTATCATAGAACGTCTGTATGCGGCTCCCGCGGAAATTGTGGCGCTGCTTTCCATCTTCTATGGCGGCATTAGCATAGTGGCCGTCATTGGCAACACGCTGGTTATTTGGGTGGTGGCCACCACACGACAAATGCGCACCGTTACCAATATGTATATTGCAAATCTGGCGTTTGCGGATGTCATTATTGGACTATTCAGCATACCATTTCAGGTGAGCTCAAATGCTGTTTTACTAATTAAGTTACCCCTTGTCGCATATTTTCGTCCAATTCTAATTATGCAAATGTTGACCAAATCGTCGAACTTTTAAGCCAACTACTGGCTAATTGGGCATGTATGAAAAACATTTTGATAGTAGCAGTTGCAAAGTTATAAATATTGTATGGGAATCGTCATGGCATTAATTAAACATTGCGTATACGCAATGTTCGATCAGGCGGGCTGGCAGGCAGGCAGGCATGCTAAATAAATTGAGTTTCGCTGATTTTCGACTGGATGTTAACACTTTGTGCACATAAATCAGTTTAATGGCATTAGCCCAGTTTTCATTTTCGACTGCCGTCGCGTTAATATTCCCTTTATGCCGCACTTACACCCACACACACACACACCCACACACAGCCACAAACGCCGATTTCACTATAATCGAGCATCAATTTAATTTCCGGCGCTTAAACACAGCGCCCGTACATTATTGGGATACATATTTTGACATTTTCGATGATATCCAACGGCACAGTCTCTTTTGGCAGCTGCAAGTCACCTACCAGCCTGCCATTTGCCTAAAATTATTCTGATAATGGCATAATCAGTTTTTCGGCTTCAGTGTTAATGGGATTAGCATTTTGTGTCTGCTCCGAATGTGCTAAGTAATTTCCAGCTGCATATTAAATTCGAGTAAAATATATATCTTGTTTTCATGCGTCCAGACAATTCGCATTGTCCGCCTTCTTTCTATTAATATCGAAACGCATTTCTCAGCTGAGCATTGTGAGGATAACAAACTGAATATCAAATTTACATCTGCATATTTAAGTGAATGTACATAATTGAGAGGGAAAAATGCATTAGCACAAGACAAAAATAGTTGTTTGGCTGTGTTGCAATTTTTATACCCTTACATCTTTATGGAAAATCCAATTTCAAAATGAAAACTTATTCGTGCTGTGAGCTTTTTAATAAATTATACCCAAGTTGATATTCGATATTGTGTCTATACGGTTAAGTTGCTTAGCTGGATAAAGATATATACACTCTTAGTATTCCGATCCGGCTAACTCTAACTTATGTCTTAAGTCTAACTTCCAGATCAAAAGTTGGAGATAAGTTTGCGCAACAAAGAAACATGCAGACGGACAAAACGACTAAGTTGATCAGGAATATATATACCCTATGCTATTCGCTGCTTGCCACAAAATTAAAATACCCTTTTTCATACTCTATTCAATTTATGAATGAATTTCAAATAAGGCATGCGCTTAAGGGGGCTTAGCAAACACATCAATGGTCGAAAGCTGATTCGAATCGTTTCAAAAATACTTAAGCACAATCGACATTGAGTTAAAGTTAGTCAAATTTAATGGAATAGAAAAGTGGCATACTTGTGTATTTTTGGTACACATTAGTTATTCCATCTTTGCTGTGTTGGTGACATGCACTACATTTATTTAATTAATCCATCTCGGTTGACTTTCAGTCAACAGCACTTAATCTTTGGGCCTCAAGTACACAGACAGTGCAATAAATATTCATTAAGTGGACAGTTAAATGGCAGCTGCTGTCGAAACAAATTGCCGTTTGTTAACAATAAACTGAGCGCCGCCTACAATTTGATTTAAATGGTTGACCGCGCCCCCGTTTACATCTGCTCAACTACGCCACTGGCGAATGCTGCAACAACATGTACTGAACACACCGCAGCACCACATTATGCGCGTTGCGAAAATGCAAAACCACGCCAAAATAACCCATTTTGGCCCTCTCGCAGACAAACCTGCCATTAAACACACACAAATCATAGCATGCTGTCAGGACGCGAATCTAGGCAATCCCCATAGTTGTCGCAATTTATTTTGGTACTTCAGCAACTGGTTTCTATGATGACCGCTGCTGTTTATAAACTTTTTCAGACTGATGTTGTTTGGCTTCATGAAAATTTGTTAATTAATAACAATATGTGCCAGCTAAAAATATGTTTGATGTATGTGTATAAATCAGGCAACAAATTGTTTAGAAAAACAACATTTTGACATAGAAATTTCAATAACTCCTCAATCATAACTCAGGGGCTAAAAATGATTTATTTATAGGCCGTTTAATTGACTTTTCACAAGCGTGACGATAAAAATTGATTAAGATTTGCTCAATTTTTGGGTAACCTTTCAGCCAGCGCAGCAAAAATAGCATAGTGTGAAACAGTGTAAATTTGACTTGAGTATTCAATTCTATTGTCTTTTTCAGTTTCAAGCCGCGCTGCTGCAACGCTGGAATCTGCCGTATTTTATGTGCGGCTTCTGTCCGTTTGTGCAGGCGCTCAGCGTGAATGTCTCCGTGTTTACGCTGACGGCAATTGCTATCGATCGACATCGGGCCATAATTAATCCATTGCGGTAAGCCAGCCATATGATGACTTAATAACGAGTTTGGTTTTTCATTAAAATGTGCAACTTTTTTTTTTGACGTACATACATACAATTTTTTCTTTTTCCTGCGCAGCGCACGTCCCACCAAGTTTATATCAAAGTTCATAATTGCGGGCATTTGGCTGCTGGCGCTGGTCTTCGCAGCGCCATTTCCCATAGCGTTTCGTGTGGAGGAAATAACCGACCGTTTTCGGGGTAAGTGTATGACCACACTCGTTTACCATTAAGTTCGTAATTGCTAAAGTACTTTATTTCGCAGAGAATGATGTCTACTTTAATTTGACGCGACCATTTTGCATGAACAAAAACCTCTCCGACGAGCAACTGAAGGCGTATCGTTATGCTCTGGTCTTTGTGCAATATCTGGTGCCATTTTGTGTGATTAGCTTTGTCTATATACAAATGGCTGTCAGATTATGGGGCACACACGCTCCGGGCAATGCACAGGACTCGCGTGACATAACGCTGCTCAAGAACAAGAAAAAGGTCTGTTGCAAGGCACGCCTCACCACCAAAATGTCAGGATCAGTATTCTAATTGGCTTACTATTTTTATTGCAGGTCATTAAGATGTTAATTATCGTTGTGGTCATCTTTGGATTATGCTGGCTGCCGCTGCAGCTCTATAATATATTGTATGTAACAATACCGGAAATCAATGACTATCATTTCATTAGCATTGTCTGGTTCTGCTGCGACTGGCTGGCCATGAGCAATAGCTGCTATAATCCCTTTATTTATGGCATCTACAATGTGAGTACTACTAAGTGGTTTCATATGGTTTGCTTATCTCTGATTGTTACTAAGCCGTCTCTCTAGTCTGGCTCAGCTCAGTGCACACAAAACAATCTAGTACAGTGAGGACTCGCTGCGGACGCATCAAATATTTTAATATGTCGCCTGTTCGCATTGCTCTTAAATTTCTACTCTACTTTCATTAGTTAGGCCTATTTCCTAGACAACATGCGCCAAAACTACTATGTTCTATTATTTTTAACGAATGGTAAATAATATAATTAGCTCAATCTAAATTTGCTCTTTCTGAAATTGAATCTCCAAACACTGTCCACTCAAATTAATTAAAAGCACGTTCTACTGTTGCCAATCAAAAAACGATGAAAAAATAAACACCTACCGAAATCCGAGCAGACGCACAAAGCCCAAAGCTAATGTCTGCAAAGCGCAGACATAAAAGCGCAAATATTTTATTTCTATTCTGAAATGGGCAAACGGACGTACCCAAAATCGATAAAAAGACAAACAAGTGCACGTAAACTTTTTTGTTCCCCAAATCCAGACAAGGGCATCTTTTCACGTTAGGGCCGCCCATAAAAACGTAGATATTTTAGAGACAAAACTTTTCCGACACAAACACCAAAATGTGTCAAGGCGTCGAAAGGAAACAAGTCCACGATTGTTACCAATTATGTTGTTTGCGGATAGGTTAGAGAAGTTTACATGAGAAGCCCAAGTGACAGATGGCACCACGAGTAGTAAAATCAGAGCTCAACATTCATTAGTAACTTTTCGGCTCAGGAATGTCTGGCATGGAAGCTCACATAATTCTGGTAAAAGCGCTAATGGAGAGATTCAACTCAGGCTGCTTTCCAAATTCCAAACTCGTATCTCTTTGCCAAAAGTTAGTTAGAGCTATTTTTCTGGCACCTAAAATTGATTTTCTTTCTTAAAGTTTACTTTTACAAGTTTTTATTGTGTTTAAAAAAATCATTAATGTTAAATTTCTGTTTATTTTTTAATTTAGACAGAATTAGAAATTTTATTTTAAATATTTGCTAGACTTGCACTTGTTGTAAAAAGTTTTTTTCAAGTATCTTATGACCGACCCTTTGTGGACAAACATATTCCACATAGAGTATTCGAACATAAAAACTTTATCTTTTTAAACGACTGGGAATTTAACATGATGTATTAAATTCAGCTTAAAAACCTATGTAAGGGTCTGTTGAACGCATTAAGAAATCGTTGGGTCGCAAACTGTGTAAATATTTTATTAGACAAAACAATACAATTTTCGCTTGTCTGGAATTTTTGTATTTCAGGAGAAGTTTAAGCGTGAGTTTAACAGACGCTTCGCCGCGTGCTTTTGCAAATTCAAGACCAGTTTGGAGCCGCACGAACGGACCTTTTCCATGCACACTCGCGCCAGCTCCATACGGTCGACCTATGCCAATTCCTCGATGCGTATTCGCAACAATTTCTTTGCGGTTCGGAATGCAGGCAATGGAAAGACGGGCCTGAATATTGGCCGGAGTGCTTATCAAGCCAATGGCAATGGCACTGGCACTGGCATTGCTAATGTCAATGAGACCAGCAGCTACAACAACAACGGACACCAAACCGTGGTAACATTTGCCGGCAGTGGGTCAACGATGCCGCCATGGAGACGTAATCAGTTTAAGCCACTGCATCCGAATGTGGCTGAGTGCGAGGATGATTTGGCGCTTATGGAGCTGCCGTCGACCAACGAGGAAGCGCCGCCCAGCATGGCGGAAGCGGGTGTGCCACTGGCGCTGTTCAAGGCCGAATCTCGAGAAAGTTCCAGCTGCATTTGTGAACAGGAATTCGGCAGTCGAACGGAATGCGATGGCACATGCATTCTTAGCGAAGTATCGCGAGTGCAGCAGCCCGCAACAAAGGGGCCAGATGGCGTCGGAGGCATTGGCTCCGGTTCGGAAAGCGAAATTTTATGGCAGCCACTTTAGATAGCGCCAATGAGGCAATTGGCTTTGACGATTTTCTCTGTGATTTCGAAATTATGAATTGTGATTACAAATACAATGTTAGGTATTCTGAATGATGTGCGTACTGAGCACAAGTCGGTCGTATGGATGATGGTCGTATTCCTTAGCTGCAAAACCATGTACAGTATTATATATATACACACACATGCATACATAGATATTCAATGTGTTGGGCAAAGCATTCCACAGACACAACCAATTGCATGTAATATTATAATAGGATAATGTGGAGCATAATTCTAAAATCATATTTCAATTCACCGCAAAAGCTAAATGAAAGCATAAATTGAAGCTATTCAAAAACTAGTATAAAACATTTGACTAAACTAAGCATAAATAGTATTAGAATCGTATCAAAATAATCGAAATTCCGACACACTTGCTATAACATGTCATTTTTTTTTTTCGCTGGAAACCATTTTTTACTTTAAAGCGCATTAGGTAATTTACTTTAATTAATAGACACGCGGAATCAATTAAGTAGCATTCAAATATAAATTATTGAATTAGTTTTTAAACGATATCGATACAAAAATATATATGTTTATATATATAAATATATGTATTTGTGTAAATCTGTGTACGCGCGTTTTTGGCATCAAAAGGCTAATTAATGTAATTATTGTATTAAAATACCAATAAAAAGTATAAAAACATTTCGAGTCATTAAACAAATCGAACAAAAACGTGTCCGTCTATTAGCCTTGTCTATGGCCTGTTAATTACCGCACATTTATTGATATCATTTCATAATAAATTCTATTATCATTATATTAATTCATTCAACCATAATTTCCATGCGAGTTGGTTTCTCATAATTGAAATTCCATTTCAAATTAAATATTAACGGAAACTGGCAAATGTCAGTTTTGAATTTATGGCAAGTGCTACAGCTTGACAATGAGTTGAAGCTTTCTGTTCGGGCCATAAGGAAATGCACCTTGCCTCATAAGGCATTTGGCTCAAGCTAAAATGCTTTCGATTTAAGTTAAGATGCAAGCTTTTTAGCTTGAGCCAAATGTATAGCATAGCGCAGACTCGAACCGGATATAATAAAGAACGGAGAAGCTTAAGACGCCATTCGCGCAGCTTTTGCGTGCCAAGAAATCTAAAAAGCTTTGAACAACAGGGTGCTATGTGGTTAACTTATGTGTGTTCCGTTAAAGAAATTTGAAAAGCTTTCGCTAACAGGGTGATGTAGGTTTAACTTAAGTAAATACGTTAAAGAAATGTGTGTCTGACATAAGTATTTTCCGTAAATCTTAAATGCCTTTACTAGCAGGGTGTATCACTTAAATATATTCTGTAAAAAAATCTTAATCTAATCTTAATCTTAATATGATATATTATCTAGATTTTTCAACTTATTTTCATTAAAATGCAAGGCTTTAAGATTTCTTGTAAAGGAAAGCACTTGCAAAACAAAGTTTCAGTTAAATTAAATTTTGAAATAATCTGCATATAATATATATGATAAAAATCCCATATTTTAAGGTAAAGTTTTCAATCGATGTTATAAAGTCATATACAATTTTTGAAAAATTTAATTCTACATCACAATTTATATGCAAAGGTCGCGTGTGTTTTGATTAAACTACCCTAATAGCTGGACAAACAGAGGGAGCTATTCTGGTTGACAAACACTAACAAAATATGACAACAGCAACAACAACAACAACAACAACAACAACAACAACAACAACAGCAACAGCGCGAGTGGCACGCAATAGTCGGCATATGTGCGGCTCTTTTTATGCCACATGCAATCAAACAACATATGCTGCACTCTGAGGCACACACAGACACACGCATAGACCCTTAAATATACACTGCAAAGCACGCAATGAACTGGCAGACTGGACATGGACATGTACATGAATATGTCGGCCGTGGCAGCATTTAAGCTTACACTCTCGCTCACACACGAGCACAAACACACAGACATACGTTGTGTCTGCAACGCTTATTTTCACATAGATGGACACTTGGTTGCATGAGCACAGCAGTGTCCTGGCACCAGGAAGAAGCCGCACGGGCTGTTGATAATTGAATAATTAACAATGTTTAAAATAGCTGAGAGAGCGTCTAACGACAGAGGGTCAGGAGCTGCGTGCGGGTGAGTTACGTTAACGTGACCGGCACTGCCAATGTGTGTGTGTGTGTGTGTGCGTGTGTGTGTGTGTGTGTGCTCGGTGCAGGTCAGCAGGTCAAATGCAACCGCAATGTCAGCCAGAGACCTCAAGAGCATTTAGTTGAATAACTCGCCAAATAGACCAGTTACATGCACGCACACACACACACACACAGACACACACTCATGAATACATATATTTATATATAAAATTGGTTTAGTATTGCTTCTAAATAATTGACATTCGGTGGGAAAATCTTCAAGGCACAACGATTGTCAGTTATTGATTGACAACGTTAGCTATATCATATTTCTAACAATTAGAAAGCGATTGTCGCATTTTTCAATGTGTTCCCAGCCTTGGAGCTGTGTGGTTCGTTTTCTTTAGTGCTTATACAAAAATGCCCAAGTCAGCTGTGAATAAAGGTGCGTGAGAACAGCTTTAAGTTCAAAGATACAAGCCTATACAATTTATATCGAAGGTTATATCATTGTCAGCCGGTTCCGTTCGTGAAATGGGTTTTCCACAACCTTGAAACCTGGTTTCCAGTTTACAATTGCCCATTTATGCTGAAAATATTGCGTTCCCTATATATTTTCATAGTTAAGATTCGGGCTAAATTTGATCTCTACAAAATTTGTATATTTCGAGCTTTTAACCAATTTGTCTTAAGCTGGTAATTTGAACCGGCTTTCAGCTTTGATAGAGAATCAGTAAAACCATCTTCTACAAACTAAGAATCACATATTGAAAATGTAGCAACACCCTGTATCCTTTCACTGAATGGGAATTCGGGGCTTGAAGGACTGATAGAGAATCAGTAGAACCATCAGAAGGCAGTTTTATCTTGCACATATTGAACAAGTTACAACACCCTGGTTTCCAACTCCCGACCATATTATTAACAATTGCAGCTCCCCGCAAGGCATTCTCATCGACAAGCTCTTCGCGTCGCAGCAGTGGCAGCAACATGGAATACTGCGAGGCATACACAATGAGCAATGGCACTGGCACTGGCACGAATATCGATGCTGCTGCAGAAGCAGCAGCTGCTGGAGGTGGTTTGGGCACGCCCACAGCGACACCAGTTACGGATTTCTATACGGATGCGACGGTGCTCATTACGGGTGGCACGGGTTTTGTGGGCAAAGTGCTAACCGAGAAATTGTTGCGCGCCTTTGGTTTGCGTAAAATTTACATGCTGATACGCAGCAAGGACAACATGAGCGTGCAAGAGCGTTTGCAGGGATTCCTCAATGAATCGGTAAGTCAATAGCGATCTGGGGAAATGAGTTGCCGACAGTCAATCGACTCTCCAATCGACAACCCACCCCACCACACCCCACCACAATCGGCACCTGGCTGTGAACAATGCAAACTCAATGGAGCTGCTGCTGTTGCTATTGCAGATATTCAGTACAATGCGCGTGGAGCGACCGGAGTTGTTGGAGAAGGTACATCCGATACGCGCTGATTACAGTGCCATCGACCTGGACATTGATGCCGCCGACCGTGCAATGCTCTCGTCTGAGGTCCAAGTGAGTATTGCCATTCGCACACTCGATTGGAGGAGCTGGAGTTTTGTTGCCTGTTTCTGTTGGCAATTCAATCAATAGACTTTTGTGTGAAACTTTTGTGTGTTTGCCTATCTGGGTTGGATCTGGCCTGTTATCCTGTCCGACTGTCTCTCTGTCTGTCTGTATGTCTGTCTCTGTTTGCCTGCTCAGTCTGTTTGCCTATCTGTCTGTCTCTCTGACGCTCTGTCCATTTGTCTGTTTGTGCATTACGTTACGTAGCGCTGCCTGCCAAAGGCAGGCGCCATGTTTACGACAACAGCATGCAGTCAGTTTATTTCCTTTTTATGATTTTTCTCTGTACAACTTACATACACACACACACACACACACACACACACACACTCAGTCAGTCAGACAGCGAAACCAAGGCACAAAATATATATTTTCTACTTTTCAACAAAAATTGAAACTCGGCACGTCGTACTATGAAAATGTGTGTGCCTGCTGCTTCTGCTGGTAGTTCTGCGGCTCATGCTGCTGGTTATAAAAAACAATATATAAATAAATGAAAATTCCTGTGCATGCTTCAAGTGTTTGGCGTGCGCGAGCCATTGTCCTGCCAGTCGCATCCGTTCGGTGCTTTAGTTCTATTTTGCATTTTCTTTTTATTTTTTATATATATTTTTTGCTGTTTGCAAAACATTTTGCATACAAGTCACTCACTTCCCCATGTGTTACAGTCGGCAGGATTCGTAGCGTTTAGTCCTTGCGCCGTTTTAAAACTAAAATTGCTTTGTTGTCGATGTTCAATGCAGCAGTTGCATGTGTAGCCATGTCCTGTGTCCCGTGTCCTGCGTCCCGTGTCCTGCGTCCCGTGTCCGTGCTGACTTTGAGGTTATCGCCGAATGCAGCCAACAGGATGGGCTCAAAACCAACTGCATCCTGCAAACGCTTCTGTTTTGCATGCTCTACTCGTGCATTTTGCATGCGCTCTTGTTGCACAATGGTTGTTGCTACTGTTGCTGGCATCTTTTTTTTTTGTTCAATTTTAATATTCATTACGTTTTTTGTTTGCTTCGCTGTCTAGATTGTCTTCAATGTTGTCGCCTCGGTGAAATTCAATGAGAAACTAAGCGATGCTATTGACATTAATGTCCTGGGCACCAAGAAGATACTCGATTTGGCTATGCAAATGAAGCAGTTGAAGGTAAGTAACTGTCCATTTCATACCCAAGCTAGAATCAAATATGCAACCAAGTGAGTTCTAGAATTCGGGAATATAGAAAGAGTAAAATAAAATAATTACTCGAATTCGTGGAAGTACTAGAATATAGAAAATCATGGAAACATGTTATTTTAAATCTCAGCGCTTTTTCAATTTATTCATTAAATTATTTTCATTCT